CCCCCTGCATCCTTCCTGCGTCCCCCCTGCGCCCCCTCCTCACCCTCTGCATCCTTCCTGTGCCCCCTCCTCACCCTCTCCATCCCCTCTGTGCTCCCTCCTCACACCCTGCATCCCCCCTGCATCCTTCCTGCATCCCCCCTGCACCCCCTCCTCATCCCCTTCATCCCCCCTGCTCCCCATCCTCACCCCCTGCATCCCCCCTGTGCCCCCTCCTCACCCCCTCCATCCCCCCTGTGCTCCCTCCTCACCCCCTGCATCCTTCCTGCATCCTCCCTGTTCTCCCTCCTCACCCTCTCCATCCCCTCTGTGTTCCCTCCTCACACCTTCCATCCCCCCTGTGCTCCCTCCTCACCCCCCGGGCTCCTTCGGGGCCCCGCACACGTGTGGGGTTGGGGATGGGGGTCCCCGGGGGGGTTTTGAGTGGGGCTGCTCCTTTCCTGACCCCTCCAGCCCCCCCCGGGGTGAGAGGTTTGTGTGCCAGGGGGAGTCACGGAGGATGTGGGATCATCCCACCTCTTCCCCCCGCAGCCCCCCCCGTCACAGGCTGGGAATTGGGGTCGGATCATCCCCTTTGGAGGGAATTTGAGGGCTCTTTCCCCCCTCAGGACCGGGATCCTGCTCTCCTCCCCGCGGTTCTTCCCAGCCTCTCCCTCTGCTCCCTCACAATTCCCGCTGTTCCAGCCTGTTATCCGTGGCTGCTCTGTTTGGGGATGGTTTAGGAACAGAACAATCCCTTCCCCACGGCCTCATCCCCCCTCCTCGCTCCGGGATTCCCACTGGAATCCAGGCCCTGGATCGTCCCCTGCGAGGGTTCCGTCCCGGGCAGGTACCAAAACATGGATAAAAGTGACCAATTCTTCCCTGAAACCCAAACACAGCCTCGCCTGTGCCGGACTTTCCCGGATTTAGGGCAGAAATTCCAACCTTTTCTCTCCTCCATCCTCCCAAACCCACGTTTGGGAGGGTTTGGGAGGGTCAGGAGCCTCCTGAGTGGCTCCATCCAAGCGGGAAGTTTGGTGGATTCCAGCTGGGGGTGGGAGCGGAGGCAGGCAGGTGGAATTCCAGAGTTTCTCCTGCTGGATCTCCAAGGCAGGATCGGGATCCTGGTTTAATGATCCCGGGGTTCTTTTCCCCAAGAGCTGCGACTCCAGCGGTGCTGCGGGATCAGCTCCCGGAAGGGGGATAACGGGATAACGCCCGTCCCAGAATCCCTGGGAGACTCCCGGGCTATTGGGGTGTTTCTGACCGTAGGAGCATCCAGCTGGAATTCCAACCCTTTCCCTCCAGGGCCTGGAGGGGGTTTTAAGGACAATAACGTGTGTCCAGAGGGGCCTTTGGGGCCAACCTGGAGCGGGAGATGCCATGGGGATCCTTGGGAACAGCTCTCCCTGCTCGGCTGGTGCCAGGCTGGGTTTAATTACAGTTGAATCCCAACTGATCCCACTGTTAAATCATCCTGTGGACGAACTGGCAGGATTGGGATCCGAAGGGGTTTCCTCGGCGTGGAATCCGTGCGGCGGCGGCGGCTCCAGGGAATGAGTTTTCCCGGGTTTTTTTCCTATTGCTGGTTTTGAACCCCAGCTTTGGATGGCCCATCTCCCCATCCGGGGAGATTCCAGCGGGAAAAGGCCAAGGAGTCTGGTTTGGGGGCTCGGGAAGCTCCCGGAAAAGGGAAGGACTGCCCCGAGCCGGGGTTGGGTTGGGAGCGCCGGGATAACGCAGGCGGGATCCACCTTCTCCAGGTGGGATTTGGGAGTCACCAGGTGGGATTTGTTGGGGTTTGGTGGTAGAAGGAAGTGGAGCAACTGGTGGAGGATGATCTTCATCATCCTGGAGTGCCGAGGGCCGGCGTTTTCCAGCGCTTTTCCACAGCACTTCCCAATCCTTGGAGTTACCGAGAGCTGGCGGGTGTTGCAGGGGCAAGTGGGGGGAAATCAGGACTTTAATTAACTGTTTTGGGTCCAATTAACAGCCCTGGATGGGGCAGGTGCTGATCCTCAGCCCGGCCACATGGGAATGATGCCGGAGCCGATCCCGGCGGGCACGAGGCGGAGTCCGGGGCAATCCCAGGATCCAGACGTTCCTCTGCTGCGAGGAACAAAGCGCTGGAATGGGAACAAAAGGCTCTGCTGCCCCGGCTGGGGGTGGTTCCCTCCAAAAGCAGCTCCTCGGGCAGGAATTTGGTGCCATTTGGGCTGAATCTGTTGAATTTTATGAGTTTTTAGTGCAAATCCCACCCGGATTTGCTGCTCAGAGTTTATTCTTCTTCCTCTGGATAAACTCGGGGAAGAGACTCGGTGCAGCCTCTGGACTTGGGTTGTTTCTTAATTAACAGCCAACTTTGGGGCTGGGAAATGGATCTGGGGTAAAACCAGGGATCTGGCAGAGGGATCTGTGTTGGGATCTGCCTGTGGATCTGGCAGAAGGATCTGTGCTGGGATCTGGCAGAGGGATCCGTGCTGGGATCTGCCCATGGATGTGGCAGAGGGATCCGTGCTGGGATCTGGCTGAGAGATCCGTGCTGGGATCTGCCTGTGGATGTGGCAGAGGGATCCGTGCTGGGATCTGCCTGTGGATGTGGCAGAGGGATCCGTGCTGGGATCTTGCAGAGGGATCTGTGCTGGGATCTGTCCCTGGATGTGGCAGAGGGATCCATGCTGGGATCTGTCCCTGGATGTGGCAGAGGGATCCGTGCTGGGATCCCTGTGTGAGGAGCGGGAGGAGAGTCACAGCCGGCTCTTCCCTCGTTGGGTTCATTAATTAATTAGTCATCCTGGGGCCAGGGGATTCTGTCTGGTTTGGAGACGGGAGCAGGAGCTTTAGGAAAATCCCATTTCGTGGGAAAACCTCTTGGGAATAAGAAGGAATAAGGGATTGGACCTTCAGAGGGGTGTCTGTGCCCCCACAGGGTGCCGAACCCTCTGGAAGCATTCTGGGTGGACACCCTCTGGGTCTTAGGGATCCAAATCCTTGGATTTGGGCTGGGAGTCGGCATCCCTGGAATCACCGTTCCCGCTCCCCAGCCCGGCTCTCACCAGCTCCCTGTCCCTTCCAGCTCCCGGAACGCCGCGGTGCCGCCACGGTCTCCCCGCTGGAAAAATCCACATAAACGCCTCTGGAACGCTTGGACGGACATCGGGAAGCAAAAATGGTAAGAAACGAGGGGATTCCCTCCTGTGGGATGAGCATCCATGTCCCAGGGCATCCCTGAGTTGTCCCAAACTCATCCCTTGGCAGCGCCCGATGCGGATCTTCGTCAACGACGACCGGCACGTGATGGCCAAGCACTCGGCCGTGTACCCCACGCAGGAGGAGCTGGAGGCCGTGCAGAACATGGTTTCCCACACGGAGCGAGCGCTCAAAGCCGTCTCCGACTGGATCGACGAGCAGGAGAAGGTCAGCGGGGAGCAGCCGGAGTCGGAGTCCATGGAGACGGCGGCCGAGGAGGAGAACAAGGAAGGAGGGTGAGGAGCGGAGGCCGCCCTGAAAATCCAGGGGGAAAGTTGTTTTCCCCTGGATGTGGGATTGAGGGGGATTAACTAACGGCTGTTGGGGGCAGGAAGCTGCTCCGTGCTGGGTCCCTTTCCTGGAGTCCCTTTCCTGGGGTCCTTTTCCCATGGTATCTTTCCTGGGATTCCTCTCCCTGGATTCCTATCCTGGGATTCCTCTCCGGGGTCCCTCTCCCAGGATTCCTCTCTGGGATCCCTCTTCTGGGATTCCTCTCTGGGGTCCCTCTCCTGGGATTCCTCTCCCAGGATCCCTCTCTGGGATCCCTCTTCTGGGATTCCTCTCTGGGGTCCCTCTCCTGGGATTCCTCTCCCTGGATCCCTCTCCGGGGTCCCTCTCCTGGGATTCCTCTCCAGGGTCCCTCTCCCAGGATCCCTCTCTGGGATCCCTCTCTCTGGGATTCCTCAGCCAGGATCCCTCTCTGGGATCCCTCTCCCAGGATTCCTCACCCAGGATCCCCCTCTGGGATCCCTCTCCCAGGATTTCTCACCCAGGATCCCTCTCGGGTAAATCCATCCTGGGTGAATCCCTGTGGATCCGTCCCTTAGGCTGCACATTCCATGGGGTTTGACTGTCTCCCATGTGTTTCCAGGGATCAGAAGGCCACGGAGCAGCTGACGAGGACCCTGCGGGGCGTGATGCGCGTGGGGCTGGTGGCCAAAGGCCTCTTGCTCAAGGGGGACCTGGACCTGGAGCTGGTCCTGCTGTGCAAAGACAAACCCACGGCCAAGCTCCTAGAGAAGGTGGCCGACAACCTGGGGGTGCAGCTGGCGGTGAGTGGGGCTGGAATTCCTTCGGGATCGCTCCGTTCCGGCTCGGAAAAGTCATTTTCGGAGGTTCTTTGGGATTGTTAAACGAACTTCTCCTCGTTAATCGTGGAATGGTTTGGGTTGGAAGGGCCCTTGGAGCTCATCCCATCCCACCAGCACACATTGCACTATCCCAGGTTGCTCCAAGCCCCTTCCAACCTGGCCTTTGACACTTCCAGGGATGAGGCAGCCACAGATTCTCTGGGAAGCCCCAGCCCAGCCCCTCACCACCCTCACGGCGTGGAATTCCTTCCCAATATCCCATCTAACCCCACCCTCTGGCAGTGGGAAGCCATTCCCTGTGTCCTGTCCCTCCAGGCCCTTGTCCAAAGTCCCTTCCCAGCTCTCTTGGAGCCCCTTTAGGAGAGGCCTTTAGGCTCCCCCTGGGAGGGGCTCTAAGGGCTCCCTGGAGCCTTCCCTTCTCCAGTTGAACATCCCCATTTCTCCCAGCCTGCCTCTGGAGCAGAGGTGCTCCAGATCCATGGAATCATGGAATGGTTTGGCTTGGAGGGGAGGACCTTAAAGATCCTGCATGTCCAGGGATCTCCAACCCTCTGCAGCTCCAGGCTGCTCCAAGGTGCTCCAGATCCATGGAATCATGGAATGATTGGGGTTGGAGGGGACCTTAAAGATCCTGCATGTCCAGGGATCTCCAACTCTCTGCCATGGGCAGGGAGACACCTCCTGCAGTTCCAGGCTGCTCCGAGGTGCTCCAGATCCATGGAATCATGGAATGGTTTGGCTTGGAGGGATCCTGCATGTCCAGGGATCTCCAACCCTCTACCATGGGCAGGGAGACACCTCCTGCAGCTCCAGGCTGCTCCGAGGTGCTCCAGGCTGCTCCAAGGTGCTCCAGGCGTTGGGCTTTGACCGGGAATGGCCACGGGGAGTCTCCCGGCTCGGGATCTGATCCGTGGCCGTGTCGTTGGCAGGCGATCACCGAGGACAAGTATGAGGTCATCCAGTCTGTGGGCGACGCCGCCATCGTCATCAAGAACACCAAGGAGCCCCCGCTGAGCCTCACCATCCACCTGACGTCGCCCGTGGTGCGGGAGGAGCTGGAGAAGCAGCTGGCCGGAGGTACGGCCGGCCCCGGGCCCGGCACGGCGCGGCGCAGCACCGGGAAAGCGTGCTCTTCAGCTTCAGCTCCCTCGGGGACAAAACATTCCCAGCGAAAAAATTCCTTAGTTCCGCCAACCTCCAGTCGCGGTTGCGGTTTAGCCGGGCCGAGCCCTCCGAAGCTGAGGAGCACCTTTCACGTGGGATTTTGCTCTTTTTATTTTTATATTTATTTATTTTTTTTCCTCCGAGTATCGTTATTATTTTATCCTTTGTTTTTGGTTCCACTTGGGCCTTTAGTTCACTAATTCATCATCTCGTTGTATTACTCGTGGTTTGTCCCCGGCCATGTCAGTGCAGTGACATGAAAATAGAAAGCAGATTTGTTTAAAAAAAAAACCCCAAAAAAACCCACACCACCCTCTCTCGAAGGCTTCTTGTCCGAGGAGTTGCATGTCCATGAACCGGGATGTTCCGGGATGTTCCCCCCGGTGTGTGTTGCAGCAGAACAGGCGGGTGCTCGGGGCTCTTCCAGCACCTTCAGGTTCAGTTCTCCGGGAAGCGATGCAGAGTTTTGGATAAAGTTAGCTCCTCCAAATTCCCTCTGGGGTCAAAGAATTCCGAACGACCGCCGGTTGTTGGCTGCGATTCCGATGGGCTCCGTAGGGCCGGCGGGTCCCCCCGCTCTGCACTAGCCTTATCTAAAACCCTGATCTCCAGCAGCTTCGGGGCGACTTTCAGGCCCTTCCTCAGTTTTGCTGCAGCACAGACCCGGGCCCTCGTTGTGCTCTTGATTGTTGATCTCTGGTGTTGATCTCTGACCTCGTCTCCGAGCCTTCTAGTTTGTCGATTTTAGGGACGCTGGACCTTTGACCAACAGGACGCTCTCTGTCGCGGGCCGGGGCCGGGGCAGCCATCCTTCCGGGCGGAGGGTTCCCTGGATCCCCTCCCCTCCCGCCCACAGCCGGGGGTCACGCACCTTAAATCCCCCCTGGTGACCCATCCCGGTGACCCATCCCGGCCTCTCCATCCGCCAGGGATCTCTGTCCCCTCCACGCTCCTCCTCCTCCTCTTACCTCCTCCTCTTCCTCCTGCCTCCTCCACCTCCTCCTCTTCCCAGAGCACATTCCAGCCCATCCATCCCTGGGAATTGAGCTTCCCCCCCACTTCTCCGCGGCGAGGCCGCGCGCTCCGGCAACGCCGCAGCCCCTTCCTTCCCTCCCTCCCGCTCCCGGCATCCCGGCAGGATTCTTTGGGAGCCTCAGCTGCCCGTTAGGATGCTGCCTCCTCCCCCTCGGCCCGACAGAAGCCCCTTGGTCAAACCGTGCCTTGTCTTCTTATTCCATCCACGACTAGAAACGCTCTCAGTCACCGACTCCCCGGACGTTCTGGACAGGCAGAAATGCCTTGCTGCCTTGGCGTCTCTGCGCCACGCCAAGTGGTTCCAGGTTTGCATTTTGTTCTTATATTTATCTTTAAGTAGAAACATTGGTAAAAAAAAAAACTCTTTTAAGGGGCTGAGTGTTTTGTCGGAGCCGGAGTGGCCGCCGGCCGCTCGGAGGTGCCGGACTTGGCGACTGCGGGCGGCGCAGCTGCTAAAGAGGCGCCGCGGTGACACTTTTAGGAGCCTTTTTTTTGTTTGTTTGTTACGGAGCTGCTGCTTTGTGTGAGGTGTGAGGAGTCAGGTCGGCGCGGCCGTGCGCCCTCGGCGGCTCCGGGCGCGGCTCCGGGTGCAGGCTCCGGGCGCGGGCTCCGGCTTTCCCCCTCGGCAAAGCGGCACCCGGAGGGACTGGCCGGCGCGGGGCGGGCGCGCTCGGTGAAAATCCCCTCTGTGCTTTTCGGTTCCGCTTCCAGGCCAGGGCCAACGGGCTGAAGTCGTGCGTCATCGTCATCCGAGTGCTGCGGGACCTCTGCACCCGCGTCCCCACCTGGGCCCCGCTGCGAGGATGGGTAATTCATTCCCTCCCTTCTCCCGTTCCCAGGGGGGTGGGAAAGGGGGGCTGGCGGCGTTTCTCCTCTTTCCCGAGTTTCCAAGGCACATCCCCCTTTCCCAAGTCGGGGGTTTCTACGGATGAGCGACGGGTCCGCCCTTAAAGGCGCAGGTCGGACGTTGGGCGGTGCCAATCGGCCACTATCACAGTGTTAATTGGCTTATCAATTACCCTTCACATTGTTAATTGCCTTAGCAATGACCCACCACATTGTTATTGGCCTTATCAATGACCCATGGCATTTTTGATTGCCTTATCAATGACCCATGGCATTTTTGATTGCCTTATCAATGACTCATCACATTTTTGATTGCCTTATCAATGACCTGTCGCATTTTTAATTGCCTTATCAATGACCCACCACATTGTTAATTGCCTTATCAATGACTCATCACATTTTTAATTGCCTTATCAATGACCCACCACATTGTTACTG